AGGGGGAATGGGAGAGGGTGAAGTAGGCCTCCTGCCAAGCAGGGAGCCCGATGTGGGGCTCGATCCCAGGACCCTGGGATCATGACCCAAGCCGAAGGCAGGCACCTAACGACTGAGCCACCCAGGCGCCCCGCGTAGAGGGATTCTTAGTGGAGGGTAGAACAGTTAGGAAACTATGGCAATAGCCTGCTCAGGTGGTTTGTTTTCTTTCCTCCCTCCCTCCCGACCTCTCTCCCACCCTTCCCTTCCTTCCTTCTCTTCCCTCCCTTCCTTCCTTTCTCAAGATTTATTTATTTATTTGAGAGAGACTGTGTGAATGGGGGTAGGGACAGAGAGAGGGAGAGAATCTCAAGCAGACTCCTCGCCAAGCGGGGATCTTAATGCAGGGCTTGATCCCATGACCCTGAGTTCATGACCTGAGCCAATATCAAGCCTCGGTTACTTAGCTGACTGAGCCACCCAGGTGCCCCTCAGGTGATTTTCAATTAAGGCAATTGCATTAGGAATGAAGAGGGGGGATAGAGAATATTTAGAAAGTAAAAATTGTAGGGAATGTCTATGAAGAAGGGAGCCTGTGACAGGTTAGGTTGACACTGAGGTTTCTTTTCTTTCTTTAAAATAATTAAAAAAATACACTTAACATAGGGGCACCTGGCTGCCTCAGTCAGTAGAGTGTATGACTTTTTTTTTTTTTTAAGATTTTATTTATTTGACAGAGAGAGACACAGCGAGAGAGGGAACACAAGCAGGGGGAGTGGGAGAGGGAGAAGCAGGCTTCCCGCCGAGCAGGGAGCCTGATGCGGGGCTCGATCCCAGAACTCCGGGATCATGACCTGAGCTGAAGCCACCCAGGCAACCCAGTAGAGTGTGTGACTCTTGATCTTAGGGTTGTGAGTTCAAGCTCCATGTTGTGTGTACAGATTACTCAAAAATAAAAAAATCTAAGAAAACCCAACCCAACAAAGCATTTAACATAAATTGTTACCATCCTAACCATTTTTTTTAAAGATTTTATTTATTTATTTGAGAGAGAGAGAGAGAGAAACAGCATGATAGGGGAGGTCAGAGGGAGAAGCAGGCTCCCTGCTGAGCTGGGAGCCCGACACGGGACTCGATCCCAGGACTCTGGGATCACGACCTGAGCCAAAGGCAGTCGCTCAACCAACTGAGCCACGCAGGCACCCATCCTAACCATTTTTTGAGTGTATAGTTCAGTGAGATTAAGTATATTCACATTGTTGTGCAACCTCACCAACTATCTTCAGAACTTTTCATCTTACCCAAATGAAATTCTGTACCCATTAAACAATAACTCTTCCTCTCCCTCCTCCAACCCTTCGCAAACACCATTCTATTTTCTGTCTCTATGAATTTGACTAATCTAGGTACCTTATATAACTGGAATCATACAATATTTGTCCTTTTGTGATTGGCTTACTTTATATAGCTTAATGTCCTTAAGGTTCATCCATGTTGTAGCACGTGCCAGAATTTCCTTCCATTTAAGGCTGAATCCTATTCCATTGTATGGGTATACTGCATTTATTCATCTATCTGTGAGGGTCACCAAAGTTGCTTCCACCTTTTGACTATTTTGAATGCTGCATGGATATACGGATGTCTCTGATGCCCTGATTCAATTGGAGTCTATACCCAAAAGTGGAATTACTAGATCACATGGTGGTTGTTTTTAATTTTTTGAGAATCAGCATACTGTTTTCCATAGCAAGGACACCATTTCACTTTCCCATTAACAGTGCACAGGGGTTCCCATTTTTTCATTCTTACCAACACTTCCCCGCCTTTTTTTTTTTAAAGATTTTATTTATTCATTTGTAAGGGAAAGGGAGAGAGAGCACAAGCAGGGGGAGTGGCAGGCAGAGGGAGAGGGAGAAGCAGGCTCCCTTGCTGAGCAGGGAGCCTGACGTGGGACTCGATCCCAGGACCCCGGGATCATGACCTGAGCCGAAGGCAGACGCTCAACCAAAGGCAGAGCCACCCAGGGGACCCCAACAATTTCCTTTCGATTGTAGCGATTCTAATGTGTTTGAGGTGCTATCTCACTGTAGTTTTGACTTGCATTTCCCTAATGATTAATGATGATGAGCGACTTTTCATGTGCTTTTTGCCCATTTGTAGAACTTCTTTGGGAAAATATGTTCGTCTTTTGCCCACTTTTTAAATTTTTTTTAAATTTATGTGTGTGTTGTTGTTGACCTATAGTTCTTTATCCTGGATACTATCCCCTCATCAAGATAGGTCATTTACAAATATTTTCTCACAATCTGTAGGTTGTCCTTTTTTTGGTAAGATTTTACTTGTGTGTGTGAGAGAGAGAGAGAAAGGGAGAGGGCAATTGCTGAGCAAGGAGCCCGAGGTGGGGCTCTATCCCAGGACTCTAGGATCATGACCTGAGGCAAAGGCAGAAACTTAACCAACTGAGCCACCCAGGTACCCCTGTAGGTTGTCTTTTTATTGTTGATTTATGTCCTTTGTTGCAGAGAAATTTTAAATTTGGGGGAAATCCAATTTACTTTTTTTTTTAAGATTTTATTTATTTATTTGAGAGAGAGAGAGAATGAGAGAGAGAAAGCACAAGAGGGAAGAGGGTCAGAGGGAGAAGCAGACTCCCTGCCGAGCAGGAAGCCCGATGTGGGACTCGATCCTGGGACTCCAGGATCATGACCTGAGCCAAAGGCAGTTGCATAACCAACTGAGCCACCCAGGCACCCTACTTTTTTTTTTTTTAAAAAGTAATCTCTACACCCAACATGGGGCCTGAACTTACCACCCTGAGATCAAGAGTCATATGCTCTACTGAGCTAGCCAGGCACTCCTACCTACTTTGTTGCCTATGCTTCTCGTATTGCATAAATCACTGCCAAATCAAAGGCATGAAGCTTTCCTCCTGTTTTCTTCTTAGAGTTTTATGGTTTTAGGTCTTGCATTTAGGTATTTGATCCATTTGTAGTTAATTTCTCTTCCTTCGGAGAATTATTTTCCATGTGGATATCCAGTTTCCCCAGCACCATTTGTTGCAAAGACCAGGTTTCTTTTTTATACAACCAAATGGACAGCTATGTCATTCATGAGCTGTTAACAGGTAAAACATTTGACCATTCTGTGACAAAGTTAGTTGTACATTCCTTTTTTTTTTTTAAAGAATTTATATTTGTCAGAATGAGTGAGAGCAAGAGAGCACGCACAAGTAGGCGGAGCAGCAGGCAGAGAAGCAGGTCCTCTGCTGAGCAAGGAGCCCGACGTGGGACTTGATCCCAGGACCCCAGGATCACGACCTGAACTGATGGCAGATACCTAACCAACTGAGCCACCAGGTGTCCCAGCCTCGAGACTTTTGTTCAGCAAATGAGTGGTTCTATGCTGGTAAAATGGAAGGTCATCATCCTCAGCCAGATGTCAATTTGTGGTTCTCCAGGATAGTCTACCACTTCTTACCAACACAGCCCACCAGAATGAAAAGATCCTACTCAGGGGCGCCTGGATGGCTCAGTTGGTTAAGCGACTGCCTTCGGCTCAGGTCATGATCCTGGAGTCCCGGGATTGAGTCCCGCATCGGGCTCCCTGCCCCACAGGGAGCCTGCTTCTCCCTCTGACCCTCCTACCTCTCATGCTCTCATTCTTTCTCTCTCAAATAAATAAAATCTTAAAAAAAAAAAAAAAAGACCCTACTCAGAGTGGCTGTTTTTGGGTCATTTAACCTCTTTGGTCCTCAACTTTTACTCACCTCTGTTAAAATAGTATCTACTCTCATAGGGATCAAGAAAACTGAATTCAAGGGGCACCTGGCTGGCTCAGAGGACTGCAGGACTCTTGACCTTGGGGTTGTGAGTTCGAGCCCCATGTTGGGTAAAGAGATTATGTACATAAACAAACCTAAAAAAATTGAATTCAGGGGTGCTTGGGTGGCTCAGTCATTAAGCGTCTGCCTTTGGCTCAGGTCATGATCCCAGGGTGCTGGGATTGAGCCCCGCATCGGGCTCCCTGCTCAGCGGCAAGCCTGCTTCTCCCTCTCCCTCTCCCCCGGCTTGTGTTCCCTCTCTCCACTGTCTCTGTCAAATAAAGAAAATCTTTCAAAAAAATACTGAATTCAGGAATAGAAATGTCTAAACTTTAGTCCCTAAAGCCTTCTACCATATGTCTGATTTATTCCCATCCTAACATTCCTTCTAGGTGTATTATCACTTACTTGTTTTAGGATTCTTGCCACTACATTTACTTTTAGCCTCCCCATTTCCCAATTTTAGTCCTCTGCTTTCCACCCCCAAACCATTTTCTAACAACCCAAACTCAGAAGTTTTACTCTTCTCCTAGGACTTCTATGGAGTTGTGTGTTTTTCGTACACGGGCTAATCATTATCAGTTTGCCTGGTTTTCACTTATTGTCCTAACATAATTATGGCTACCCTAATCATAATTTATTTTGTACATTAAAATGTCTGTATAGTGAGTGTATGTCTTGAGAGCAGAGTGTTTGTACTGTATACAGTCAAAAACTCCCTTCACGAGGTACCTTTGCATTTTATTACAAAGTGGAGTCTTTTCATCCATTATGCATCCATTATGCACCCTCTCCAACCCTGCACCAAGCTCCTACATATCAACATGTAAACAATATGAACTGCTTCTCAGAGGCCAGATAAGGTCCAATATATATACTCAAAGATTGTAGGCCAGAAAAGAGGCTGATGATTGTTAAATATAGAAGAAATGATTTGCTAACAGTTAACATCTGGGAAAGAAAATGGAAAGGAGAAACTTTACATGTTAAGTTCTATTCTCTGAAGACAAGAAAGTCCTAACAGACAGACTAGTAGAGTATCTTTAAGAGATGAAAAGACTTGAGATTTTAAGTGAGGAATCTGTGGCATTAAACCTTTTCAACTGAAGCTGAGGCCTTAAGAGTAATTATGTGTTTTCATTTCTAGAGCCTTCATTTTTTTTTGTGGGGGGGGGTGGAAAGAGACCAAGCACCCACTGAGTTCATCCAACAAGAAGCCATAACTTTATTAATGATAGAAACAGTACAAATTTCAAACCAAGCTGCAGTTATTCTTTTGAAACACCAAAAAAAGTCCTCGTTTTCAGATGGTTACATTGTTAATTCCTGTAAGAAAAGAGATTAGAAGCAGTTATAGGCAAATTGAGAATTCAGGACACTAAAATATGAGGTAACTCAGAATAGGCTTTGGAATGAAGCTTCCTAACTGGCTGATATTAAGTACAGAAAATAAAGTCAACCCATAACTGGTCAGGGCAGAAAAAATAAAGGAATAAAGGTTTGGACACTTACCATAATAGCATTTACAATATCATTACTGTTGTTCTTCAGGGCTCGGACTGCCTTTGCTCTTGACACATTTGCTTGTGACATGACCAATTCTATGTCCTTAACCTCTACACCGGTTTCATCAACCTAAGAGAAGGAAAAAAAGCACAATAACCTAAAGGCCAAGAACAGCTCCAGTAGTTCTTTGGAGTCACGGGTCTCTTTAATCTGTTTCTTTCTTTCGTTTTTTTTTTTTTTTAAGATTTTATTTGACAGAGATACAGCGAGAGAGGGAACACAAGCAGGGAGAGTGGGAGAGGGAGAAGCAGGCTTCCTGCTGAGCAGGGAGCCCGATGTGGAGCTCGATCCCAGGACCCTGGAATCATGACCCGAGCTGAAAGCAGACACCTAATGACTGAGCCACCCAGGCGCCCCTGAATCTAGTTCTTAATATAACTCAGACACTATTTAAGTCAAATGATTTTGAGAACCTAAAGCAATATAGAATGCACCCATCAATACAAAATAATACTGGGCGTCTGGGTGGCTCAGTTCATTAAGCGTCTGCCTTCAGCTCAGGTCATGATCCCGGGATCTGGGAATTGAGCCCCGAGTCGTGCAACTCCGCTCCTCAGGGAGCCTGCTTCTCCCTCTGCCTCTTTCTCTCATGGATAAATAATTTTATATTATAATTAATACATATTATATATATATTAATAATATAAATAAATAAAAATCTTAAAAGAAAACCCCACACAAAATACATCTGGAGAGGATTAAAAGTATAAAAGATTTCCCTATATACCTCTTCTTCTTCACTCTCCTCTTGTACAGTTGGAGTCTGTGTGTTTTCTTGAATGTTTGAGACAGCTTCACCTTGAACTTTGAATTTCTCAGCAGCTGCTAGTTGTGCTTGCTGAGATAAATCCTCGATCTACAGGGCAAAAAATACAGATTTATATGAACAGATCGGTCTGTAGTAAATGAAATAAGTAATTTGTATCTTTTCCAAACTCTCACTCTAAAGCCACTTCAGGTTAACTTACTGTATAGCTTTAATTGTCTGCCCTCACTAAGAGTACATATTACTGTACAAAGAGAACTAGTTTAGGTCTAAAGCAGTGGTTCTCAACTGGGAGGTGATTTTGTCATCCAGGGACATCTATCAAATGCCTACAGATTTTTTTGATTATCACAACTGCTAAACATCTGTAACACTCAGGAAAGCCCCTCCACAACATGGAATTATGTGACCTCAAATTCCACACCAAAGAATTATCCAACTCCATCAATAGTGCTGAGGTTGAGAAACCCTGGTCTAGAGTGCATCCAAGAAAATTTTCTTTACCTTGGCTTCCCCAAAAACTATGTAGGTATCTGAAGCTGGGCTCTTGTAGACATCTGGTTTTGTGATGACAAAGAGGATATTCTTAGATTTCCGGATAGTGACTCTTGTAACCCCTGTAACCTGTCGAAGACCCAGTTTGGACATAGCCTAAGAAATAGAAAAGAACATCAGGTTTTCAACTTCTCTAGAAGCAGCTTCAGAGGGGAACCTGAGTGGTTCAGCTGGCTGAATGTCCAACTCTTGATTTTGGCTCAGGTCGTTATCTCAGGGTTGTGAGATTGAGACTGAGCCCCACATCAGACTCTGCACTTAGCAGGGAGTCTGCTTCTCCCTCTACCCCTCCCCCTGCAGGCATTCTCTCTCTCACTCAAATAAATACATAACATCTTAAAAAAAGAAATAGCTTTAGGAAGTAAAGAACATAGTAATAACTATATCCAAAGCAAAGCCTTAACTGAGGGTTGCTGGTGGGGGGGGTAGGGGAATGGGTTAACTGGGTGATGGACATTAAGGAGGGCATATGATGTAATGAGCACTGGGTATTATAGAAGACTGATGAATTGGGGCGCCTGGTTGGGCGTCTGCCTTCGGCTCAGGTCATGATCCCAGGATGGGATCGAGCCCTGCATCAGGCTCCCTGCTCAGCAGGGAGTCTGCTTCTCCCTCTCCCTCTTACCCTCCTCCCTGCCTGTGCTCTTTCTCTCTCAAAGAGATAAAATCTTAAAAAAAGACTGAATTACTGACCTCTACCTCTGAAACCAATAATACATTATATGTTAATTAATTGAATTTAAATAAAAAAGTAACAAAACAAAACAAAGCCTTTTCCTAGGCTAACTTTATTATTATTATTTTTCAAGATTTTATTTATTTATTTGACAGAGACACAGCGAGAGAGGGAACACAAGCAGGGGAAGTGGGAGAGGGGGAAGCAGGCTTCCCGCTGAGCAGGGAGCCTGATGTGGGGCTCGATCCCAGGACCCTGGGATCATGACCTGAGCCGAAGGCAGATGCTCAACAACTGAGCCACCCAGGTGCCCCCTAGGCTAACTTTAGATAATACAGAATTGGTTTCCAGGACTCCTGTTTTTTTTGCTATAGTAATTTCTATCACTTTAAATATGATTCTACCACTACAGTTCCCCCTCTCTAAAGCTGCTTCATCAGAACCTTTAATCCTTTTTTAGAACTTAAAATCTTACCTTCCGTGCCTTCTTTTCACTCCGGCTCTGTTTTGCTTTACTGACTGGTTCTTCATCGATTTCAGCAGCTGCTGCCAGCTAAGGAGATAAAACAGCTATGAGTAAACTGGAATATAAGGCCTAGATACCATAATCCCCATAAGGTTTTCCCTTTATGAAGGTTCACATTTCCAAGTACTGAAGTCAGCTTCTCTGATCAACCCTTGTTCTTCAATGCTTCCTTGACTCAAGTACTCTGACCAGCAAGTAAGAGAACAGAACACCCACCTGGGCCTGTTGTGTGGTTGCCTGTGTGGAATCCTGTTCCTCAAGCTCTGGTACTGATTCATCACTGTCAGATTCTGTTCCAGACCCTGAGATGACAAATAACTTTGAAATTTTACAGATTATAGGGAGGAGGCACCTCACCATAGCCTGCCTGGCTTATGTTAGACCTCACAAAGTTAAATGCAAACCAACTGACTTCTATGAAGCCAGCTTGACAGCCTCCTTAGCCATAAACTAGTGTGTACACATCCATTAAAGACCCAGCCCCAGAAATAAAGAGGTAATTACTAGTTACAGCCAAGCAATTTATAAACAGTAACTGCTTCCCTTCTCTTGAGGTCTTCACTTGGCACAGGCCAACACCAATGACCTACGTTAACTCCAAATTCTACCTGATAGACCACCCATCCCTAAAAGGTTATGGCAGACAAGGGATCTCCAGATACATTTAGGTGAAAAAACAGTAAGATCACATTGTGGAGGAAGACCAGGGAGGACACTACCCTCATGCTTTACACTGAGTTGGGGAAGGCCAGAAGCAGTTGTGTACACACATTTAGCCTTGTTTTCAAACCACTTACCCTAGCAATTTGGTTTCATCAACATGGCCTGAAGATTCTCAATGATTGCCAATCTATAGTTCTAACAGTCATCTCTGTTAGAGCCTGTCCTGTGACCTCTCCCATTTCTTCCAAATATAATTCACATATTTTAAGTTTACCTCAACCAAAAGGCCAAGCATCAATAAAGACTACTAAGAGAAAAAATCATACACCTGTACCATTCTCAGGCTAGGAAAAAAAGTCTTGAAGAGGGAGTCCCTTGGGCACTGGTCATTACTAAATCTAAGACGTGAAAAGAAATTCAAATAGTTCCATATTTCCCAAAATTTTAGCAAATCCCAGGCCCAGGGACAAGGTTAGTTATGTGGTAGAAATTAGAGCAAATTAAAAGGTCTAATAGGTCTTGGTTTTCAATGTCAGATCACTCAGGTAAAAAAGATGGCAGATCCAGGGTTAGCTTGAACCATATTATACAAGATGATACAGAACAGACTATCTGAGGTGATGAAAACCAAGATTGTTTCACATTCCTAGAACTTTTGCATTTAAAATTATCATTCTATGTTCTATGTCCAAACACAAGCAGATATACTGGAGAAAGCGGCGCATCCTAGGGTTAGTATTGGTGGGTAGCCCCAGGAGGGGTGTGGGCGACACACCATGCACACAGCAAACCAAGGCAAATACCCTTGTTGTTCTTCAGAACAGGCTGCTTGGCAGAGGGGGTTGGGGCAGGGATCCCAGCAGGTTTGGGGGTGGGCATGTTGACGAGGACCGACTGGAAAGGCACTCCCCCCGAGATTGGTTCCGGGGGAATCAGAGGCGGCAGCTCATCCTCATCAGCAGGGGCTGAGGGCTTACAGGGTGATTCCAGCACCAGCCCAGGTGAGGACGGCAGAAACTGCTGTTTAGGAAGCAGAGGGGGAACTGGGGAGGGAGTGAGAGGCAGAGAGACTGATGGGGTGGGTGCTGGAGGGATAGATGCTGATCCAGCTTTAGGAAGGACCTTCTCAGAGTAAACTGTTGCTAGAGGAGTAGATGTCACAGACTCAAGAGGAAGAGTCAAAGGGCTCTTTGGGGAATGAAAAGAATCTTTGCTTTTTAATGGAGAAACAGAGAGGGCTTTGGGAGTCTTTGAAGAGCCTTTCTGAGCAGAGACTGTCAGCGGGGCTGGACCCATTGTAGAAAGGGGTCCTTTAGTACCATTCTTAGCTGAAGGATCTGGGCACAGAGGAGGTGAAGTAGCATAACTCTTCTTGGCCAGTGGACCTTTCTCAGAGGGAGCTGTGACAACTGGTGCACTTTCTGGGGCTGGCGCAACAAGTCCCGCTTTGAGAGCTGTGGAGCCTTTCTTTACTGGTAGGCCTTTAGAAGCCTGAGGGGCAATGGACCCCAAGGGACATGTGACTGCAACTGGAGAAGTAGGGGCCTCTTTGGGGGAGGGAGGAATCTCAGATGAAGGAGTGGGGACACCTCTGGATGGGGTAGCTGGGGCTCTCTTGGGGGATGGAGTTGCCGAGGCTCCTTTGGAGGATGGGGTTCCTCCTGGGGTTCTTTTGGAGGATGGAGTTGCTGAGGTCCCTTTGGGGGCTGGGGTTGACAGAGACTCTTTGGGAGAGGAGGGAGTCACAGCTGGGGGAGTGGAGGCCCCCTTGGGGGATGGGGTTGCTGGGGCCCCTTTAGGGGCTGGAGTTGCTGGAGACTCTTTGTGGGAGGAAGGAGTCACAGCTGAGGGAGTAAGGGACCCTTTGATAGATGGGGCAGCTGGGGATTTTTTTGAGGAAGGAGTCACTGCTAGGGGAGTGAGGGCCCCTTTGGGAGGCTGAGTAGCTGGGGACTCTTTGGGGGAGGGAGGAACCACAGCTGGAGGAGTGGAAGTCTCTTTAGGGGTTGCTGGGCCCCCTTTGGGGGAGGGAGGAGCCACAGCTGGGGCAGTGGAGGCCCCTTTGGGAGGTGGGGTAGCTGGGGACTCTTTGGGGGAGGAAGGAGCCACAGCTGGGGGAGTGGAAGTCTCTTTAGGGGATGGGGTTGCTTGGCCCCCTTTGGGGGATGGAGTTGCTAGAGCTCTTTTGGGGGTTGGAGTTGCTTGGGACTTTTTGGGGGAGGGAGGAGCCACAGCTGGGGCAGTGGAGGCCTCCTTGGGCAGTGGGGTACCTGGGGCTCTTTTGGGGGCTGGAGTTGGTTGGGACTCTTTGGGAGAGGGAGGAGCCATAGCTTGGCTTGTGGAGGCTCCTTTGGGAGGCTGGGTAGCTGGGGACTCTTTGGGAGAGGAAGGAGTCATAGCTGGGGGAGTGGAGGTCTCTTTA